CTCTGTGAGTCTCTGTGGGTCTCTGTGAGTCTCTGTCAGTCTCTGTGGGTCTCTGTGGGTCTCTGTGGGTCTCTGTGAGTCTCTGTGAGTCTCTGTGGGTCTCTGTGAGTCTGTGTGGGTCTCTGTGAGTCTCTGTGAGTCTCTGTGGGTCTCTGTGGGTCTCTGTGAGTCTCTGTGAGTCTCTGTGGGTCTCTGTGAGTCTCTGTGAGTCTCTGTGTGTCTCTGTAAGTCTCTGTGGGTCTCTGTGAGTCTCTGTGGGTCTCTGTGGGTCTCTGTGGGTCTCTGTGGGTCTCTTTTGGTCTCTGTGGGTCTCTTTGGGTCTCAGTGAGTCTCTGTGGGTCTCTGCGGGTCTCTGCGGGTCTCTGTGAGTATCTGTGGGTCTCTGTGAGTCTCTGTGAGTCTCTGTGGGTCTCTGTGAGTCTGTGTGGGTCTCTGTGAGTCTCTTTGAGTCTCTGTGGGTCTCTGTGGGTCTCTGTGAGTCTCTGTGGGTCTCTGTGGGTCTCTGTGGGTCTCTGTGAGTCTCTGTGAGTCTCTGTGGGTCTCTGTGAGTCTCTGTGAGTCTCTGTGGGTCTCTGTGAGTCTCTGTGGGTCTCTGTGGGTCTCTGTGAGTCTCTGTGAGTCTCTGTGGGTCTCAGTGAGTCTCTGTGAGTCTCTGTGTGTCTCTGTGAGTCTCTGTGGGTCTCTGTTTGTCTCTGTGAGTCTCTGTGTGTCTCTGTGGGTCTCTGTGTGTCTCTGTGAGTCTCTGTGGGTCTCTGTTTGTCTCTGTGAGTCTCTGTGGGTCTCTGTGAGTCTCTATGGGTCTCTGTCTCTGTGGGTCTCTGTGGGTCTCTGTCAGTCTCTGTGAGTCTCTGTTAGTCTCTGTGGGTCTCAGTGAGTCTCTGTGAGTCTCTGTGTGTCTCTGTGAGTCTCTGTGGGTCTCTGTTTGTCTCTGTGAGTCTCTGTGTGTCTCTGTGGGTCTCTGTGTGTCTCTGTGAATCTCTGTGGGTCTCTGTTTGTCTCTGTGAGTCTCTGTGGGTCTCTGTGAGTCTCTATGGGTCTCTGTCTCTGTGTGTCTCTGTGTGTCTCTGACTCTCTGTGTGTCTCTTTGTGTCTCTGTGGGTCTCTGTGTTTCTCTGTGGGTCTCTGTGTGTCTCTGTGTGTCTCTGTGGGTCTCTGTGAGTCTCTGCGTGTCTCTGTGAGTCTCTGTTTGTCTCTGTGTGTCTCTGTGAGTCTCTGTGGGTCTCTGTGAGTCTCTGATTGTCTCTGTGGGTCTCTGTGAGTTTCTGTGTGTCTCTTTGGGTCTCTGTGGGTCTCTGTGAGTTTCTGTGTGTCTCTGTGAGTCTCTGTGGGTCTCTGTGGGTCTCTGTGGGTCTCTTTGGGTCTCTGTGGGTCTCTGTGTGTCTCTGTGTGTCTCTGACTCTCTGTGTGTCTCTTTGTGTCTCTGTGGGTCTCTGTGGGTCTCTGTGGGTCTCTGTGAGTCTATGTGTCTCTGTGGGTCTCTGTTTGTCTCTGTGGGTCTCTGTGAGTCTCTGTGTGTCTCTGTAAGTCTCTGTGGGTCTCTGTGAGTCTCTGTGGGTCTCTGTGAGTCTCTGTCAGTCTCTGTGAGTCTCTGTGGGTCTCTGTGAGTCTCTGTGGGTCTCTGTGAGTCTCTGTGGGTCTCTGTGAGTCTCTGTCAGTCTCTGTGGGTCTCTGTGGGTCTCTGTGGGTCTTTGTGGGTCTCTTTTGGTCTCTGTGGGTCTCTTTGGGTCTCAGTGAGTCTCTGTGGGTCTCTGCGGGTCTCTGCGGGTCTCTGTGAGTATCTGTGGGTCTCTGTGAGTCTCTGTGAGTCTCTGTGGGTCTCTGTGAGTCTGTGTGGGTCTCTGTGAGTCTCTGTGAGTCTCTGTGGGTCTCTGTGGGTCTCTGTGAGTCTCTGTGGGTCTCTGTGGGTCTCTGTGAGTCTCTGTGAGTCTCTGTAAGTCTCTGTGGGTCTCTGTGAGTCTCTGTGGGTCTCTGTGGGTCTCTGTGGGTCTTTGTGGGTCTCTTTTGGTCTCTGTGGGTCTCTTTGGGTCTCAGTGAGTCTCTGTGGGTCTCTGCGGGTCTCTGCGGGTCTCTGTGAGTATCTGTGGGTCTCTGTTAGTCTCTGTGAGTCTCTGTGGGTCTCTGTGAGTCTGTGTGGGTCTCTGTAAGTCTCTTTGAGTCTCTGTGGGTCTCTGTGGGTCTCTGTGAGTCTCTGTGGGTCTCTGTGGGTCTCTGCGGGTCTCTGTGAGTCTCTGTGAGTCTCTGTGGGTCTCTGTGAGTCTCTGTGGGTCTCTGTGGGTCTCTGTGAGTCTCTGTGGGTCTCAGTGAGTCTCTGTGAGTCTCTGTGTGTCTCTGTGAGTCTCTGTGGGTCTCTGTTTGTCTCTGTGAGTCTCTGTGTGTCTCTGTGGGTCTCTGTGTGTCTCTGTGAGTCTCTGTGGGTCTCTGTTTGTCTCTGTGAGTCTCTGTGGGTCTCTGTGAGTCTCTATGGGTCTCTGTCTCTGTGGGTCTCTGTGGGTCTCTGTCAGTCTCTGTGAGTCTCTGTGAGTCTCTGTGGGTCTCAGTGAGTCTCTGTGTGTCTCTGTGAGTCTCTGTGGGTCTCTGTTTGTCTCTGTGAGTCTCTGTGTGTCTCTGTGGGTCTCTGTGTGTCTCTGTGAGTCTCTGTGGGTCTCTGTTTGTCTCTGTGAGTCTCTGTGGGTCTCTGTGAGTCTCTATGGGTCTCTGTCTCTGTGGGTCTCTGTGGGTCTCTGTCAGTCTCTGTGTGTCTCTGTGAGTCTCTGTGTGTCTCTGTGTGTCTCTGTGAGTCTCTATGGGTCTCTGTCTCTGTGAGTCTCTGTGGGTCTCTGTGAGTCTCTGTGAGTCTCTGTGGGTCTCTGTCTGTCTCTGTGGTTCTCTGTGGGTTTCTGTGAGTCTCTGTCGGTTTCTGTTGGTCTCTGTGAGTCTCTGTGGGTCTCAGTGAGTCTCTGTGAGTCTCTGTGGGTCTCTGTGTGTCTCTGTCGGTCTCTGTGAGTCTATGTGTGTCTCTTTGGGTTTCTGTGGGTTTCTGTGGGTCTCTGTGGGTTTTTGTAAATCTCTGTGGGTCTCTGTGGGTCTCTGTGGGTCTCTGTGAGTCTCTGTGAGTCTCTGTGGGTCTCTGTGAGTCTCTGTGGGTCTCTGTCTCTGTGGGTCTCTGTGGGTCTCTGTGAGTCTCTGTAAGTCTCTGTGGGTCTCTGTGAGTCTCTGTGGGTCTCTGTGAGCCTCTGTGTGTCTCTGTGTCTCTGTGGGTCTCTGTGAGTCTCTGTGGGTCTCTGTGTGGTGAGTCTATGGGTCTCTATGGGTCTCTGTGTGGTGAGTCTGTGGGTCTCTGTGTGGTGAGTCTGTGGGTCTCTGTGTGGTGAGTCTGTGGGTCTCTGTGTGGTGAGTCTGTGGGTCTCTGTGTGGTGAGTCTGTGGGTCTCTGTGTGGTGTCTGTGGGTCTCTGTGTGATGTCTGTGGGTCTCTTTGTGGGGTCTATGGGTCTCTATGGGTCTCTATGGGTCTCTGTGTGGTGAGTTTGTGGGTCTCTGTGGTGAGTCTGTGGGTCTCTCTGTGTGGTGAGTCTGTGGGTCTCTGTGTGGTGAGTCTGTGGGTCTCTGTGTGGTGTCTGTGGGTCTCTGTGTGGTGTCTATGGGTCTCTATGGGTCTCTATGGGTCTCTGTGTGGTGAGTCTGTGGGTCTCTGTGGTGAGTCTGTGGGTCTCTCTGTGTGGTGAGTCTGTGGGTCTCTGTGTGGTGAATCTGTGGGTCTCTGTGTGGTGTCTGTGGGTCTCTGTGTGGTGTCTATGGGTCTCTATGGGGCTCTTTGTGGTGTCTGTGGGTCTCTGTGTGGTGTCTGTGGGTCTCTGTGTGGTGTCTGTGGGTCTCTATGGGTCTCTGTGTGGTGTCTGTGGGTCTCTGTGTGGTGAGTCTGTGGGTCTCTGGGTCTCTGTGTGGTGAGTCTGTGGGTCTCTGTGGTGAGTCTGTGGGTCTCTGTGTGGTGAGTCTGTGGGTCTCTGTGTGGTGTCTATGGGTCTCTGTGTGGTGAGTCTGTGGGTCTCTATGGGTCTCTGTGTGGTGAGTCTGTGGGTCTCTGTGTGGTGAGTCTGTGGGTCTCTGTGTGGTGAGTCTGTGGGTCTCTGTGTGGTGAGTCTGTGGGTCTCTGTGTGGTGAGTCTGTGGGTCTCTGTGTGGTGTCTGTGGGTCTCTGTGTGATGTCTGTGGGTCTCTTTGTGGGGTCTATGGGTCTCTATGGGTCTCTATGGGTCTCTGTGTGGTGAGTCTGTGGGTCTCTGTGGTGAGTCTGTGGGTCTCTCTGTGTGGTGAGTCTGTGGGTCTCTGTGTGGTGAGTCTGTGGGTCTCTGTGTGGTGTCTGTGGGTCTCTGTGTGGTGTCTATGGGTCTCTATGGGTCTCTATGGGTCTCTGTGTGGTGAGTCTGTGGGTCTCTGTGGTGAGTCTGTGGGTCTCTCTGTGTGGTGAGTCTGTGGGTCTCTGTGTGGTGTCTATGGGTCTCTATGGGTCTCTTTGTGGTGTCTGTGGGTCTCTGTGTGGTGTCTGTGGGTCTCTGTGTGGTGTCTGTGGGTCTCTATGGGTCTCTGTGTGGTGTCTGTGGGTCTCTGTGTGGTGAGTCTGTGGGTCTCTATGGGTCTCTGTGTGGTGAGTCTGTGGGTCTCTGTGGTGAGTCTGTGGGTCTCTGTGTGGTAAGTCTGTGGGTCTCTGTGTGGTGAGTCTATGGGTCTCTGTGTGGTGAATCTGTGGGTCTCTGTGTGGTGAGTCTGTGGGTCTCTGTGTGGTGAGTCTGTGGGTCTCTGTGTGGTGAGTCTATGGGTCTCTGTGTGGTGAATCTGTGGGGCTCTGTGTGGTGTCTATGGGTCTCTGGGTCTCTATGGGTCTCTGTGTTGTGTCTGTGGGTCTCTGTGTGGTGAGTCTATGGGTCTCTGTGGTGAGTCTATGGGTCTCTGTGTGGTGAATCTGTGGGTCTCTGTGTGGTGAGTCTGTGGGTCTCTGTGTTGTGTCTGTGGGTCTCTGTGACTAGGGGGTCGCGTCCTGGCCGACGAGGAGACCTTGGAGGGACTTCCCCTCGGCTCCGAGGGGACCCTTTACCTGCGGGACCTGGGACCTCAGGTCGCGTGGACCACAGTGAGTAGTGTATAGTGTAGTGTAGTAGTGTATAGTGTAGTGTAGTAGTGTATAGTGTAATAGTGTATATTGTAGTAGTGTATAGTGTAGTGTAGTAGTGTATATTGTAGTAGTGTATAGTGTAGTAGTGTATATTGTAGTGTAGTAGTGTATAGTGTAGTAGTGTATAGTGTAGTAGTGTATAGTGTAGTAGTGTATAGTGTAGTAGTGTATAGTGTAGTAGTGTATAGTGTAGTGTAGTAGTGTATAGTGTAGTAGTGTATAGTGTAGTAGTGTATAGTGTAGTAGTGTATAGTGTAGTAGTGTATAGTGTAGTGTAGTAGTGTATAGTGTAGTAGTGTATAGTGTAGTAGTGTATAGTGTAGTGTAGTAGTGTATAGTGTAGTAGTGTATAGTGTAGTAGTGTATAGTGTAGTGTAGTAGTGTATAGTGTAGTATTGTATAGTGTATAGTGTAGTGTAGTAGTGTATATTGTAGTAGTGTATAGTGTAGTAGTGTATATTGTAGTAGTGTATAGTGTAGTAGTGTATAGTGTAGTAGTGTATAGTGTAGTAGTGTATAGTGTAGTAGTGTATAGTGTAGTGTAATAGTGTAGTGTAGTAGTGTATAGTGTAGTAGTGTATAGTGTAGTGTAGTAGTGTATAGTGTAGTGTAGTAGTGTATAGTGTAGTAGTGTATAGTGTAGTAGTGTATAGTGTAGTAGTATAGTGTAGTAGTGTATAGTGTAGTAGTGTATAGTGTAGTGTAGTAGTGTATAGTCTAGTAGTGTATAGTGTAGTAGTGTATAGTGTAGTAGTGTATAGTGTAGTGTAGTAGTGTATAGTGTAGTAGTGTATAGTGTAGTAGTGTATAGTGTAGTAGTGTATAGTGTAGTAGTGTATAGTGTAGTGTAGTAGTGTATAGTGTAGTGTAGTAGTGTATAGTGTAGTGTAGTAGTGTATAGTGTAGTAGTGTATAGTGTAGTAGTGTATATTGTAGTAGTGTATAGTGTAGTGTAGTAGTGTATATTGTAGTAGTGTATAGTGTAGTAGTGTATATTGTAGTAGTGTATAGTGTAGTAGTGTATAGTGTAGTAGTGTATAGTGTAGTAGTGTATAGTGTAGTAGTGTATAGTGTAGTGTACAGTGTAGTAGTGTATAGTGTAGTGTACAGTGTAGTAGTGTATAGTGTAGTAGTGTATAGTGTAGTGTAGTAGTGTATAGTGTAGTAGTGTATAGTGTAGTAGTGTATAGTGTAGTAGTGTATAGTGTAGTGTATAGTGTAGTAGTGTATAGTGTAGTAGTGTATAGTGTAGTAGTGTAGTGTATAGTGTAGTAGTGTATAGTGTAGTAGTGTATAGTGTAGTAGTGTATAGTGTAGTGTAGTAGTATAGTGTATAGTGTAGTAGTGTATAGTGTAGTAGTGTATAGTGTAGTAGTGTATAGTGTAGTAGTGTATAGTGTAGTAGTGTATAGTGTAGTAGTGTATAGCGTAGTAGTGTAGTAGTGTATAGTGTAGTAGTGTATAGTGTAGTAGTGTATAGTGTAGTAGTGTATAGTTTAGTAGTGTATAGTGTAGTAGTGTATAGTGTAGTAGTGTATAGTGTAGTGTAGTAGTGTATTGTGTAGTAGTGTATAGTGTAGTAGTGTATAGTATAGTGTAGTAGTGTATAGTGTAGTAGTGTATAGTGTAGTAGTGTATAGTGTAGTAGTGTATAGTGTAGTAGTGTATAGTGTAGTAGTGCATAGTGTAGTAGTGTAGTGTATAGTGTAGTAGTGTATAGTAGTGTATAGTGTAGTGTAGTAGTGTATAGTGTAGTAGTGTATAGTGTAGTAGTGTGTAGTGTATAGTGTAGTAGTGTATAGTGTAGTAGTGTATGGTGTAGTAGTGTATGGTGTAGTAGTGTAGTAGTTTATAGTGTAGTAGTATATTGTGTAGTAGTGTTTAGTGTAGTAGTGTTTAGTGTAGTAGTTTATAGTGAAGTGTATTAGTGTAGTAGTGTATAGTGTAGTGTAGTAGTGTATAGTGTAGTAGTGTATAGTGTAGTAGTGTATAGTGTAGTAGTGTATAGTGTAGTAGTGTATAGTGTAATGTAGTAGTGTATAGTGTAGTGTATAGTATAGTGTAGTAGTGTATAGTGTAGTGTATAGTGTAGTGTAGTAGTGTATAGTGTAGTAGTGTATAGTGTAGTAGTGTATAGTGTAGTGTAGTAGTGTATAGTGTAGTAGTGTATAGTATAGTAGTGTATAGTGTAGTAGTGTATAGTGTAGTAGTGTATAGTGTAGTGGTGTATAGTGTAGTAGTGTATAGTGTAGTAGTGTATAGTGTAGTAGTGTATAGTGTAGTAGTGTATAGTGTAGTAGTGTATAGTGTAGTAGTGTATAGTGTAGTAGTGTATAGTGTAGTGGTGTATAGTGTAGTAGTGTATAGTGTAGTAGTGTATAGTGTAGTGTAGTAGTGTATAGTGTAGTGTAGTAGTGTATAGTGTAGTGTAGTAGTGTATAGTGTAGTAGTGTATAGTGTAGTAGTGTATAGTGTAGTAGTGTATAGTGTATTAGTGTATAGTATAGTGTAGTAGTGTATAGTATAGTGTAGTAGTGTATAGTGTAGTAGTGTATAGTATAGTGTAGTAGTGTATAGTGTAGTAGTGTATAGTGTAGTAGTGTATAGTGTATAGTGTAGTGTAGTACTGTATAGTATAGTGTAGTAGTGTATAGTGTAGTGTAATAGTGTATAGTGTAGTAGTGTATAGTGTAGTAGTGTATAGTGTAGTAGTGTATAGTGTAGTAGTGTATAGTATAGTGTAGTAGTGTATAGTATAGTAGTGTATAGTGTAGTAGTGTATAGTGTAGTGGTGTATAGTGTAGTAGTGTATAGTGTAGTGTAGTAGTGTATAGTGTAGTGTAGTAGTGTATAGTGTAGTGTAGTAGTGTATAGTGTAGTAGTGTATAGTGTAGTAGTGTATAGTGTAGTAGTGTATAGTGTATTAGTGTATAGTATAGTGTAGTAGTGTATAGTATAGTGTAGTAGTGTATAGTGTAGTAGTGTATAGTATAGTGTAGTAGTGTATAGTGTAGTAGTGTATAGTGTAGTAGTGTATAGTGTAGTGTAGTACTGTATAGTATAGTGTAGTAGTGTATAGTGTAGTAGTGTATCGTGTAGTAGTAGTGTATAGTGTAGTAGTGTATAGTGTAGTAGTGTATAGTGTAGTAGTGTATAGTGTAGTAGTGTATAGTGTAGTGTAGTAGTGTATAGTGTAGTAGTGTATAGTGTAGTAGTGTATAGTGTAGTGTAGTGTGTAGTGTAGTAGTGTATAGTGTAGTGTAGTAGTGTATCGTGTAAGCTCAGTGGAGTAACTGCCTGGCCAGGTGTTCCTGACGGAGTACGCCGGCCCGCTGCTGATTTACCTCGGCCTCTACCTGCGCCCCGCCCTCATCTACGGGACAGCGACCTCCCCCCAAACCTCCAGCCCCCACCTCGTTGTCCAGTGAGCCACTCACTCGCTCACTAACTCGCTCACTCACTCGCTCACTAGCTCACTAACTCGCTCACTAGCTCACTAACTCGCTCACTAACTCACTCACTCACTAGCTCACTAGCTCACTAACTCGCTCACTAATTCACTAGCTCGCTAACTCGCTCACTAACTCACTCACTCACTAGCTCACTAACTCGCTCACTCACTCACTAGCTCACTAACTCGCTCACTAACTCACTCACTAGCTCACTAGCTCACTAACTCGCTCACTAATTCACTAGCTCACTAACTCGCTCACTAACTCACTCACTCACTAGCTCACTCACTCGCTCACTCACTCGCTCACTCACTAGCTCACTCACTAGCTCACTCGCTCGCTCACTCGCTCACTCACTCGCTCACTCATTAGCTCACTCACTAGCTCACTCACTCACTCACTAGTTCACTCACTCACTAGTTCACTCGCTCACTCACTATCTCACTCACTAGCTCACTAACTCGCTCACTAACTCACTCACTCACTAGCTCACTCACTCGCTCACTCGCTCACTCACTAGCTCACTCACTAACTCACTCGCTCACTCACTCACTAGTTCACTCACTCACTAGTTCACTCGCTCACTCACTATCTCACTCACTAGCTCACTAACTCGCTCACTAACTCACTCACTCACTAGCTCACTCACTCGCTCACTCACTCGCTCACTCGCTCACTCACTCGCTCACTCATTCACTCACTAGCTCACTCACTAGCTCAGTCACTCACTCACTAGTTCACTCACTCACTAGTTCACTCGCTCACTCACTCGCTCACTCACTATCTCACTCACTAGCTCACTAACTCGCTCACTCACTCACTAGCTCACTAGCTCCCTCACTCACTAGCTCACTAACTCACTAGCTCACTCACTAACTCACTCGCTCAATGACTCACTCGCTCACTAGCTCACTCACTCACTAGTTCACTTACTCACTAGCTCACTCACTAACTCACTCACTCTCTAGCTCACTCACTTGCTCACTTGCTCACTAACTCACTCACTAGCTCACTCACTCGCTAGCTCACTAGCTCACTTGCTCGCTCACTTACTCACTCACTCACTAACTCGCTCACTCACTAGCTCACTAGCTCACTCACTAGCTCACTCACTAGCTCACTCACTCACTAACTCACTCACTAGCTCACTCACTAGCTCACTCACTAGCTCACTCGCTCACTAGCTCACTAGCTCACTCACTCACTAACTCACTCACTAGCTCACTCACTCACTCACTAACTCGCTCACTAGCTCACTTGCTCACTAACTCACTCACTAGCTCACTCACTCGCTAGCTCACTAGCTCACTTGCTCGCTCACTCACTAGCTTACTAGCTCACTCACTAGCTCACTCACTCACTAACTCACTCACTAGCTCACTTGCTCACTCACTAGCTCACTCACTAGCTTACTAGCTCACTCACTAGCTCAATAGCTCACTCACTCACTAGCTCACTTACTCACTCACTAGCTCACTAGCTCACTTACTCACTCACTAGCTCACTAGCTCACTCACTAACTCGCTCACTCACTAGCTCACTAGCTCACTCACTAGCTCACTCACTAACTCACTCACTCACTAGCTCACTCACTAGCTCACTCGCTCACTAGCTCACTCACTAGCTCACTCACTCACTAACTCACTCACTAGCTCACTCACTCACTAACTCACTCACTCACTAGCTCACTCACTAGCTCACTCACTAGCTCACTCGCTCACTAGCTCACTAGCTCACTCACTCACTAACTCACTCACTAGCTCACTAGCTCACTCACTAGCTCACTCACTATCTCACTCACTCACTAACTCACTCACTCACTAGCTCACTCACTAGCTCACTCACTATCTCACTCACTGACTAGCTCACTAGCTCACTTGCTCACTCACTCACTAGCTCACTCACTAGCTTACTAGCTCACTAGCTCACTCACTCACTAGCTCACTTACTCACTCACTAGCTCATTAGCTCACTTACTCACTTACTCACTCAATAGCTCACTCACTCACTAACTCGCTCACTCACTGGCTCACTCACTATCTCACTCACAGGCTCACTCACTAACTCACTCACTCACTAGCTCACTCACTAGCTCACTCGCTCACTAGCTCACTCACTCACTAACTCACTCACTAGCTCACTCACTCACTAACTCGCTCACTCACTAGCTCACTCACTAGCTCACTCGCTCACTAGCTCACTCACTCACTAGATCACTCACTAGCTCACTCACTCACTAACTCGCTCACTCACTAGCTCACTCACTAGCTGCGTGCATTTTTCTGCGTCCATTGTTCCGTGTCCATTGTTCTGTGTCCATTGTTCTGCATCCATTGTTCTGCGTCCATTGTTCTACGTCCATTTTTCTGCGTCCATTTTTCTGCGTCCATTGTTCTGCGTCCATTGTTCTGCGTCCATTGTTCTGCATCCATTGTTCGGCATCCATTGTTCGGCGTCCATTGTTCGGCGTCCATTGTTCTGCGTGCATTGTTCTGCGTCCATTGTTCTGCGTCCATTGTTCTGCGTGCATTGTTCTGGGTGCATTGTTCTACATCCATTGTTCTGCGTGCATTGTTGTGCGTCCATTGTTCTGCATCCATTGTTCTGTGTCCATTGTTCTACATCCATTGTTCTGCGTGCATTGTTCTGCGTCCATTGTTCTGCGTCCATTGTTCTATGTGCATTGTTCTGCATCCATTGTTGAACGTGCATTGATCTCTGTCCATTGTTCTGCGTCGATTGTTCCGCGTGCGGTGTTCTGCGTCCATTGTTCTGCGTGCATTGTTCTGCGTCCATTGTTCTGCATCCATTGTTCTGCGTCCATTGTTCTGCGTCCATTGTTCTGCGTGCATTGTTCTGCCTCCATTGTTCTGCCTCCATTGTTCCACACCCCCCGCCCTCCCCCCCACCCAGCCTGGCCTGTCTCTGCCACTCGCTGCACTTTGCAAAGCGCCTCCTGGAGACGGTCTTTGTCCACCGCTTCTCGCACGGGACGATGCCCCTCCGGAACATCTTCAAGGTGCCACCCCGTGGTAGACGTTGACCACCTCGCCTGGTCTACAGGAGGTCGTGGTAGATGTTGACCACCTCGCCTGGTCTACAGGAGGTCGTGGTAGATGTTGACCACCTCGCCTGGTCTACGGGAGGTCGTGGTAGATGTTGACGACCTCGCCTGGTCTACAGGAGGTCGTGGTAGATGTTGACCACCTCGCCTGGTCTACAGGAGGTCGTGGTAGATGTTGACCACCTCGCCTGGTCTACGGGAGGTCGTGGTAGACGTTGACCACCTCGCCTGGTCTACAGGAGGTCGTGGTAGATGTTGACCACCTCGCCTGGTCTACAGGAGGTCGTGGTAGACGTTGACCACCTCGCCTGGTCTACAGGAGGTCGTGGTAGATGTTGACCACCTCGCCTGGTCTACGGGAGGTCGTGGTAGATGTTGACCACCTCGCCTGGTCTACAGGAGGTCGTGGTAGATGTTGACCACCTCGCCTGGTCTACGGGAGGTCGTGGTAGACGTTGACCACCTCGCCTGGTCTACAGGAGGTCGTGGTAGATGTTGACCACCTCGCCTGGTCTACAGGAGGTCGTGGTAGATGTTGACCACCTCGCCTGGTCTACAGGAGGTCGTGGTAGATGTTGACCACCTCGCCTGGTCTACAGGAGGTCGTGGTAGATGTTGACCACCTCGCCTGGTCTACGGGAGGTCGTGGTAGATGTTGACCACCTCGCCTGGTCTACAGGAGGTCGTGGTAGACGTTGACCACCTCGCCTGGTCTACAGGAGGTCGTGGTAGATGTTGACCACCTCGCCTGGTCTACGGGAGGTCGTGGTAGACGTTGACCACCTCGCCTGGTCTACAGGAGGTCGTGGTAGATGTTGACCACCTCGCCTGGTCTACAGGAGGTCGTGGTAGATGTTGACCACCTCGCCTGGTCTACGGGAGGTCGTGGTAGACGTTGACCACCTCGCCTGGTCTACAGGAGGTCGTGGTAGATGTTGACCACCTCGCCTGGTCTACAGGAGGTCGTGGTAGACGTTGACCACCTCGCCTGGTCTACAGGAGGTCGTGGTAGATGTTGACCACCTCGCCTGGTCTACAGGAGGTCGTGGTAGATGTTGACCACCTCGCCTGGTCTACAGGAGGTCGTGGTAGATGTTGACCACCTCGCCTGGTCTACAGGAGGTCGTGGTAGACGTTGACCACCTCGCCTGGTCTACAGGAGGTCGTGGTAGATGTTCACCACCTCGCCTGGTCTACAGGAGGTCGTGGTAGATGTTGACCACCTCGCCTGGTCTACAGGAGGTCGTGGTAGATGTTGACCACCTCGCCTGGTCTACAGGAGGTCGTGGTAGACGTTGACCACCTCGCCTGGTCTACAGGAGGTCGTGGTAGATGTTCACCACCTCGCCTGGTCTACAGGAGGTCGTGGTAGACGTTGACCACCTCGCCTGGTCTACAGGAGGTCGTGGTAGATGTTGACCACCTCGCCTGGTCTACAGGAGGTCGTGGTAGATGTTGACCATCTCGCCTGGTCTACAGGAGGTCGTGGTAGATGTTGACCACCTCACCTGGTCTACAGGAGGTCGTGGTAGATGTTGACCACCTCGCCTGGTCTACAGGAGGTCGTGGTAGATGTTGACCACCTCGCCTGGTCTACAGGAGGTGGTAGATGTTGACCACCTCGCCTGGTCTACAGGAGGTCGTGGTAGATGTTGACCACCTCGCCTGGTCTACAGGAGGTGGTAGATGTTGACCACCTCGCCTGGTCTACAGGAGGTCGTGGTAGATGTTGACCACCTCGCCTGGTCTACTGGAGGTCGTGGTAGATGTTGACCACCTCGTCTGGTCTACAGGAGGTTCGTGGTGGATGTTGACCACCTCACCTGGTACACAGGAGGTCGTGGTAGATGTTGACCACCTCGCCTGGTCTACAGGAGGTCGTGGTAGATGTTGACCACCTCGCCTGGTCTACAGGAGGTCGTGGTAGATGTTGACCACCTCGCCTGGTCTACAGGAGGTCGTGGTAGATGTTGACCACCTCGCCTGGTCTACAGGAGGTGGTAGATGTTGACCACCTCGCCTGGTCTACAGGAGGTCGTGGTAGATGTTGACCACCTCGCCTGGTCTACAGGAGGTCGTGGTAGATGTTGACCACCTCGCCTGGTCTACAGGAGGTCGTGGTAGACGTTGACCACCTCGCCTGGTCTACAGGAGGTCATGGTAGATGTTGACCACCTCGCCTGGTCTGCAGGAGGTCGTGGTAGACGTTGACTACCTCGCCTGGTCTACAGGAGGTGGTGGTAGATGTTGACCACCTCGCCTGGTCTACAGGAGGTCGTGGTAGACGTTGACCACCTGGCTTGGTTTACAGGAGGTCGTGGTAGATGTTGACCACCTCGCCTGGTCTACAGGAGGTCGTGGTAGATGTTGACCACCTCGCCTGGTCTACAGGAGGTCGTGGTAGATGTTGACCACCTCGCCTGGTCCACAGGAGGTCGTGGTAGATGTTGACCACCTCGCCTGGTCTACAGGAGGTCGTGGTAGATGTTGACCACCTCGCCTGGTCCACAGGAGGTCGTGGTAGATGTTGACCACCTCGCCTGGTCCACAGGAGGTCGTGGTAGATGTTGACCACCTCGCCTGGTCTACAGGAGGTCGTGGTAGATGTTGACCACGTCGCCTGGTCTACAGGAGGTCGTGGTAGATGTTGACCACCTCGCCTGGTCTACAGGAGGTCGTGGTAGACGTTGACCACCTCGCCTGGTCTACAGGAGGTCGTGGTAGATGTTGACCACCTCGCCTGGTCTGCAGGAGGTCGTGGTAGACGTTGACCACCTGGCTTGGTCTACAGGAGGTTGTGGTAGATGTTGACCACCTCGCCTGGTCCACAGGAGGTCGTGGTAGATGTTGACCACCTCGCCTGGTCTACAGGAGGTCGTGGTAGACGTTGACCACCTCGCCTGGTCTACAGGAGGTCGTGGTAGACGTTGACCACCTCGCCTGGTCTACAGGAGGTCGTGGTAGATGTTGACCACCTCGCCTGGTCTACAGGAGGTCGTGGTAGATGTTGACCACCTCGCCTGGTCCACAGGAGGTCGTGGTAGATGTTGACCACCTCGCCTGGTCTACAGGAGGTCGTGGTAGATGTTGACCACGTCGCCTGGTCTACAGGAGGTCGTGGTAGATGTTGACCACCTCGCCTGGTCTACAGGAGGTCGTGGTAGACGTTGACCACCTCGCCTGGTCTACAGGAGGTCGTGGTAGATGTTGACCACCTCGCCAGGTCTACAGGAGGTCGTGGTAGATGTTGACCACCTCGCCTGGTCTACAGGAGGTTGTGGTAGATGTTGACCACCTCGCCTGGTCCACGAGGTCGTGGTAGATGTTGACCACCTCGCCTGGTCTACAGGAGGTCGTGGTAGATGTTGACCACCTCGCCTGGTCTACAGGAGGTCGTGGTAGATGTTGACCACCTCGCCTGGTCTACAGGAGGTCGTGGTAGATGTTGACCACCTCGCCTGGTCTACAGGAGGTCGTGGTAGATGTTGACCACCTCGCCTGGTCTACAGGAGGTCGTGGTAGACGTTGACCACCTCGCCTGGTCTACAGGAGGTTGTGGTAGATGTTGACCACCTCGCCTGGTCTACAGGAGGTCGTGGTGGTAGATGTTGACCACCTCGCCTGGTCTACAGGAGGTCGTGGTAGATGTTGACCACCTCGCCTGGTCTACAGGAGGTCGTGGTAGACGTTGACCACCTCGCCTGGTCTACAGGAGTGGGTGAGTGAGTGGGTGAGTGGATTAGTGAGTGAGTGAGTTGGTGAGTGAGTGAGTGGGTGGGTGAGTGAGTGGCTGGGTGGGTGAGTGAGTGAGTGGGTGAGTGGGTGAGTCAGTGGATTAGTGTGTGTGTATCTGTCTGTCTGTGTGTGTCTGTGTTTGTGTCTGTGTGTATGTTTCTGTGTGTATATGTGTGTATGTGCGTCTGTGTGTGTCTGTGTGTGTGTCTGTGTGTGTGTCTGTGTGTGTGTCTGTGTGTGTGTCTGTGACTGTGTTTGTGTGTGTGTCTGTGTGTGTGTGTATGTCTCAGTGTGTATGTGTGTGTATGTGTGTATGTGACTGTGTGAGTGTGTGTATGTGTGCGTGTGACTGTGACTGTGTGTGTGTCTGTGTGTGTATGTGTCTGTGTGTGTGTTTGTGTGTGTGTATGTGTCACTGTGTGTATGTGTCACTGTGTGTGTGTGACTGTGTGTGTGTGTGACTGTGTGCGTGTGTGTGACTGTGTGTATGTGTGACTGTGTTCGTGTGAGTGTGACTATGTGTGTGTGTGTGACTATGTGTGTGTGTGACTGTGTGTGTGTGACTGTGTGTGTGTGTTTGACTGTGTGTGTGTGTTTGACTGTGTGTGTGTGACTGTGTGTGTGTGACTGTGTGTGACTGTGTGTGTGTGACTGTGTGTGTGTGTAACTGTGACTGTGTGTGTGACTGTGTGTGCGTGTCACTGTGTGTGTGTGTCACTGTGTGTGTGTGTCACTGTGTGTGTGACTGTGTGTGTGTGTGTCACTGTGTGTGTGTGACTGTGTGTGTGACTGTGTGTGTGTCACTGTGTGTGTGTATGTGTGTGTGACGTGTGTGTGTGTGTGACGTGTGTGTGTGTGACGTGTGTGTGTGTGATGTGTGTGTGTGACGTGTGTGTGTGTGTGTGACTGTGTGTGTGACTGTGTGTGTGACTGTGTGTGTGTCACTGTGTGTGTGTCACTGTGTGTGTGACTGTGTGTGTGTCACTGTGTGTGTGTGTCACTGTGTGTGTGTGTGACTGTGTGTGTGTCACTGTGTGTGTGTGTCACTGTGTGTGTGTGACTGTGTGTGTGTGTCACTGTGTGTTTGTGTCTGTGTGTGTGTCTGTTTGTGTGTGTGTCTGTGTGTATGTCTCTGTGTGTGTATGTGTGTACGTGACTGTGTGTGTGTGTCTGTGTGAGTGTGTGTATGTATGTGTGTGTGACTGTGACTGTGTGTGTCTGTGTGTGTCTGTGTGTGTGTGTGTGTCTGTGTGTGTGTGTATGTGTCACTGTGTGCGTGTGTGTGTGACTGTGTGTGTGTGTGTGACTGTGTGTGCGTGTGTGTGACTGGGTGCGTGTGTGTGTGACTGTGTGCGTGTGTGTGTGACTATATGTGTGTGTGTGACTATGTGTGTGTGTGTGACTGTGTGTGTGACTGTGTGTGTGTGTTTGACTGTGTGTGTGTGTTTGACTGTGTGTTTGACTGTGTGTGTGACTGTGTGTGTATGTGTGACTGTGTGTGCGTGTGACTGTGTGTGCGTGTGACTGTGTGTGTGTTACTGTGTGTGTGTGACTGTGTGTGTCACCGTGTGTGTGTGTGACTGTGTGTGTGTGCGACTGTGTGTGTGTGTGACTGTGTGTGTGACTGTGTGTGTGACTGTGTGTGTGTGTGACTGTGTGTGTGTGTGACTGTGTGTGTGTGACTGTGTGTGTGTGTGACTGTGTGTGTGTGTGACTGTGTGTGTGTGTGACTGTGTTTGTCACTGTGTGTGTCACTGTGTGTGTGCGTGACTGTGTGTGTGTGTGTGACTGTGTGTGTGTGTTACTGTGTGTGTGACTGTGTGTGTCTGTGTGTGTGTGTCACTGTGTGTGTGTGTCACTGTGTGTGTGACTGTGTGTGTCACTGTGTGTGTGTGTCACTGTGTGTGTCACTATGTGTGTGTGTGTCACTATGTGTGTGTGTGTCACTGTGTGTGTCACTGTGTGTGTGTGACTGTGTGTGTCACTGTGTGTGTCACTGTGTGTGTGTCACTGTGTGTGTATCACTGTGTGTGTGTGTTACTGTGTGTGTCACTGTGTGTGTCAGTTACTGTGTGTGTCACTGTGTGTGTCACTGTGTGTGTCTCTGTGTGTGTCTCTGTGTGTGTGTCACTGTGTGTGTCACTGTGTGTGTGTGTCACTGTGTGTGTGTGTCACTGTGTGTGTGTGACTGTGTGTGTGTCACTGTTTGTGTCACTGTGTGTGTGTGACTGTGTGTGTGTTTCACTGTGTGTGTCACTGTGTGTGTGTCACTGTGTGTGTGTTTCACTCTGTGTGTGTCACTGTGTGTGTCACTGTGTGTGTGTCACTGTGTGTGTCACTGTGTGTGTGTCACTGTGTGTCACTGTGTGTGTCTCTGTGTGTGTCACTGTGTGTGTCACTGTGTTTGTCTTTGTCTTTGTTGTGTTTCACTGTGTGTATCACTATGTGTGTGTGTCACTGTGTGTGTCTCTGTGTGTGTGTGTCACTGTGTGTGTCACTGTGTGTGTCTCTGTGTGTGTGTGTCACTGTGTGTGTGTGTCACTGTGTGTGTGTGTCACTGTGTGTGTCTCTGTGTGTGTCACTGTGTTTGTGTCACTGGGTGTGTGACTGTTTGTGTGTGTCACTGTGTGTGACTGTGTGTGTGTGCCACTGTGTGTGTCTCTGTGTGTGTCACTGTGTGTGTCACTGTGTGTGTGTCACTGTGTGTGTCACTGTGTGTGTGACTGTGTGGGTCACTGTGTGTGTGTGACTGTGTGTGTGTGTCACTGTGTGTGACTGTGTGTGTGTGTCACTCTGTGTGTCTCTGTGTGTGTATCACTGTGTGTGTGTGTGTTACTGTGTGTATCACTGTGTGTGTCACTGTGTGTGTGTGTCACTGTGTGTGTCACTGTGTGTGTGTGTCACTGTGTGTGTCACTGTGTGTGTCTCTGTGTGTGTCTCTGTGTGTGTGTGTCACTGTGTGTGTCACTGTGTGTGTGTCACTGTGTGTGTGTGTCACTGTGTGTGTGTGACTGTGTGTGTGTGTGTGTCACTGTGTGTGTCACTGTGTGTGTGACTGTGTGTGTGTTTCACTGTGTGTGTCACTGTGTGTGTGTCACTGTGTGTGTCACTGTGTGTGTGTGTGTCACTGTGTGTGTCTCTGTGTGTGTCACTGTGTGTGTGTCACTGTGTGTGTCACTGTGTGTGTCTCTGTGTGTGTCTCTGTGTGTGTGTGTCTCTGTGTGTGTGTGTCACTGTGTGTGTGTGTCACTGTGTGTGTGTGTCACTGTGTGTGTCTCTGTGTGTGTCACTGTGTGTGTGTCACTATGTGTGTGTGTGACTGTGTGTGTGTGTCACTGTGTGTGACTGTGTGTGTGTGTCACTGAGTGTGTCTCTGTGTGTGTCACTGTGTGTGTGTGTCACTGTGTGTGTCACTGTGTGTGTCACTGTGTGTGTGACTGTGTGTGTCACTGTGTGTGTGTGACTGTGTGTGTGTTTTACTGTGTGTGTGTCACTGTGTGTGTCACTGTGTGACTGTGTGTCACTGTGTGTGTCACTGTGTGTGTGACTGTGTGTGTGTGTCATTGTGTGTGTGTTTCACTGTGTGTGTGTGTGTCACTGTGTGTGTTTCACTGTGTGTGTCACTGTGTGTGTCACTGTGTGTGTGTCACTGTGTGTGTGTTTCACTGTGTGTGTTTCACTGTGTATGTGTGTCACTGTGTGTGTGTCTCTGTGTGTCACTGTGTGACTGTGTGTGTCTGTGTGTGTGTCTGTGTGTGTGTCTCTGTGTGTCTCTGTGTGTCACTGTGTGTGTGTGTGTCACTGTGTGACTGTGTGACTGTGTGTGTGTGTATCACTGTGTGTTTCTGTGTGTCTCTGTGTGTCTCTGTGTGTGTGTCTCTGTGTGTGTGTGTGACTGTGTGTCTCTGTGTGTGTGACTCTGTGACTGTGTGTGTGTGTCACTGTGTGTCAATGTGTGTCACTGTGTGTGTGTCACTGTTTGTGTGTGTCACACTGTGCGTCTGTGTGCCACTGTGTGATTGTGTGTGACTGTGTGTGTGTATCACTGTGTGTCTCTGTGTGTCTCTGTGTGTAACTGTGTGTCTGTGTGTGTGTGTCACTGTGTGTGTGTCTCTGTGTGTGTGACTGTGTGTCTCTGTGTGTCTCTGTGTGTGTCACTGTGTGACTGTGTGTGTGTGACTGTGTCTCTCTGTGTGTCACTGTCTGTCACTGTGTGTGTGTCACTGTGTGTGTGTGTCACTGTGTGTGTCTCTGTGTGTGTGTCTCTGTGTGTGTGTCTCTGTGTGTGACTGTGTGTGACTGTGTGTGTGTCTCTGTGTGTCCCTGTGTGTGTGTGTGACTGTGTGTGACTGTGTGTGTGTCTCTGTGTGTCTCTGTGTGTGTGTGACTGTGTGTATCACTGTGTGTCTCTGTGTGTCACTGTGTGTATCACTGTGTGTCTCTGTGTGTGTGACTGTGTGTGTGACTGTGTGTCTCTGTGTGTCTCTGTGTGTGTCTCTGTGTGTCTCTGTGTGTCTCTGTGTGTCACTGTGTGTCACTGTGTGTGTGTGTCGCTGTGTGTATCACTGTGTGTCTCTGTGTGTCACTGTGTGTATCACTGTGTGTCTCTGTGTGTCACTGTGTGTATCACTGTGTGTCTCTGTGTGTCTCTGTGTATCACTGTGTGTATCACTGTGTGTCTCTGTGTCACTGTGTGTATCACTGTGTATCACTGTGTGTCACTGTGTGTGTCACTGTGTGTGTTTCACTGTGTGTGTGTGTCACTGTGTGTGTTTCACTGTGTGTGTGTGTCACTGTGTGTGTGTCTCTGTGTGTGTGTCTCTGTGTGTCACTGTGTGACTGTGTGTCACTGTATGTGTGTCACTGTGTGTGTCTCTGTGTGTGTGTCTCTGTGTGTCTCTCTGTGTGTCTCTGTGTGTCTCCCAGAACTGCTTTTACTACTGGGGATTTGCTGCTTACCTCGCCTACTACATCAACCATCCCCTGTACAGCCCTCCCAGTGAGTGCCAGGCTAGGTGCACCAGGAGGAGGTCACGTGACAGACCCAGCAGGTAGCCATGGGTTGACCGCTGCTGTGCCAGGCTAGGTGCACCAGGAGGAGGTCACGTGACAGACCCAGCAGGTAGCCATGGGTTGTCCTCTGCTGTGCCAGGCTAGGTGCACCAGGAGGAGGTCACGTGACAGACCCAGCAGGTGCCATGGGTTGACTGCTGTGCCAGGCTAGGTGCAGATGCACCACCTGTGCCCCCTACTGAGCCAACTTGCTGTGCTTTAGCCACCCGGCGCTCCGCTCGTTGTTGTGAGCGCCGCTCCTCCGCTTTCCGTTGTTGCTGGAGGGCGACTGCCTCCAACTGCCCAGTGACCTCAGAGTGCACCTAGCCTGGCACTAGCCCCAGTAGCAGCGTCCTTCACGAGCCTCCTCCTCAGAGGCCGATCTTGACACCGCTGGTACCGGTCATCGGTAAGTCCACTCAGCTCCACGTCCTCCTGTACCACGTCACTCCATCTCTTCTCTAGCCCATGCCACTCACTCACCCACTCATCCACCCACCCACTCACCCACCCACTCACCCACTCACCCACCCACTCACACACTCACCCACCCACCCACTCACCCACCCACTCACCCACCCACCCACCTACCCACTCACTCACTCACCCACCCACCCACCCACTCACCCACTCACTCACTCACCCACCCACCCACTCACCCACCCACTCACACACTCACCCACCCACTCACACACTCACCCACCCACTCACTCACCCACCCACTCACCCACCCACCCACCCACTCACTCACCCACTCACCCACCCACTCACCAACCCACCCATCCACCCATCACTCCATCTCTTCTCTAGCCCGTGCCGCGCCCGTTTAGCCCCCTCAATCCGGCCAAACAAAAGCTGTTTCGGCATGCGGTGGCTGGGCATGCGGGCTACATGACCCAGCCATCGCAGCCTTGCCTGCCGGAGGAGCTCACCGGTGGGACCTTGCCCAGATCAGACTTTGTGCAGATCAGACTTTGTCCAGAGACACACACACACAGACATGCACACACAGACACATACGCAAACACATGCAATTGTGTGTGTGTCTGTGTGTGTGTCTGTGTTTGTGTCTGTGTGTGTGTCTGCGTGTGACTGTGTGTGTGTGTGTGACTGTGTGTGTGTGTGTCTGTGTGTGTGTGTGTGTCTGTGTCTGTGTGTGACTGTGTGTGTCTGTGGCAAAACAACCCCCTACCTCCTCGCGGTGCCGGACGGGCAACTCTGTCGTGGACAGTGCTGTGGGGGGAGGTCCAATTTTTATTGGCTCCTCCCCTCATGGCGTCTGTGACCACCACAGGGGCTTAACGGGGGCTCTGGACGGGGGCGAGGGGCTGGTAACCCCTCCACCTTCAATTAATTACCACTAAACCACGAGTTAAACTTAAATATGTAACTAATAAGCTTGTGCCGGAGGCCCCGGGGGGCCAGGCGTCTATGACGTCTCCTGGCCAAACCCCAAATGGCGGAGCCAGGAGATTGAATATCTACCCTCGGGGCTCCTCCAGAAACAACGAAAAGCCACTACGGGTGGCCACGTGGAATGTTCGAACGCTCACTGCGGAGGAGAGGCTGCCACTCCTCTGTCGGGAGCTGGACCGGTACCGCCTGGATCTATGTGGCATTCAGGAGGTCCGGTGGACCGGCTCTGGCTCCTGCCACCATGAGGGGTGGACAGTCCTCTACTCGGGGCAGCAGACTGCTAAACAACAGGGTGTGGCTCTTCTTTTGAACAAAAGAGTGAAGGGGTGGCGTGGGAGCGTGGCGGTGAGGTGTGGGAAGCTGTAAGCCCCAGGCTACTTTGGGCTCGCCTTCCCATCAACCGGAGGCGAGGAGCGGTGGTCGTGGTTACTTATGCCCCCACCGAAGATGAACATCCGTGGAGGGATGCAGGCAAAGCCGATGAGTCAGATGCCTTCTATCACCTCCTGTCACAGGTGCTGGCTAAAGTGGCCCCTCGGGATAGAGTCATCATGTTGGGTGGCTTCAATGCCCGAGTTGGTCATGATACTGGCACCTGGTCTGGAGTGATTGGAGGGCATGGGCCAGATCAGCTCAATAACAACGGTAGGAGGCTGCTAGATTTTTGTGCAGCCCATGGGCTTGTAATTACCAACACGCTGTTCCGGCATCGGCGCATCCACACAACATCATGGATGCATGCCGGGTCCAAGCAAGAACATCTGCTGGACTACATAGTGACGGACCAGCGGATGCGAGCCCATGTCCTTGACACCAGGACCTACCGTGGAGCTGATCTGCCCTCTGACCATCGACTAGTCATCTGTAAGATGCGCCTGCCATTCTTCCACTCCGGTGGTGGGTGTACACCCAGGACCCCATTCCAACCTAAAGTGGCCCGGTCTCAGTTATCTGATGAAAGTTGCAAGCGAGAATTTCATCATCGCTTGCGGCTGGGATTGGAATCGTCCCTGACTCCTCCTGATGTCGAGGGTAAATGGGCGAGGTTTAGGACTGTGACTCATGCAGCTGCAATGGCTGCTTTGGGTACGCAGTCCAGACCTCCCCAGAGACGCTGGCTGACAGAGGAGGTGTTCAGGATGGTTGAGAAAAAGCGACAGGCCCACTGTCATCGGCTACAGAATCCCACATCAGAGAATGAGGAGGCTTACCGCAGCCTTCGCTCGGAGGTTCGGAGAGCCGTGAGGCGCTGCAAGGATGGGTGGTGGTCGCGGGTTGCTGAGGAGATGGAGTCTGCCTCAGTGGCCCGTGATCACAAATCTCTATTTAACTTCATCAAAAAAGTAACCTGCAGCGCCACACCTATCACCATAATTAGGGGAAAAAACGGTGATCCAATCTCCGACCACCAGGAACAGGTTTGCAGATTTGCTGAGCATTTCTGTGAGGTCCTGGGGGAGGGAAAATCCCTCAGCCAGGAAAACATTGTGGCACAAAGTGAGGATGACCCTGCTGAGGCTGCGGTGCCTCAAATATTGGAAGAAGTCACCCCTTGTGAGTGGCTGGCTGAGGTGCCATCTGTTGAGGAAGTACTGAAGGCGATCCGGAGTCTGAGACCAGGAAAGGCAGCGGGCAGAGATGATCTCCCAAGCGAAATGCTGAGGGAGGGTGGCGTTTGTGCACAGACTGCCCTATATGACATAACAACGGTCTGGACCACTGGACGGGTCCCGCAGGATTGGAAGGATGCCCTGGTGGTCCCCCTTCTTAAAACAACTACAGGGGCATCTCACTCCTCAGTGTGCCGGGAAAGGTCCTGGCAAGGATTATTCAGCATCGCCTTGCCAGGCACGCTGAGGAGAGGCTTGCGGAGCCCCAATGCGGTTTCAGGAAAGGGCGGTCCTGCACAGATGCCATATTTTCTGTCCGTCTGCTACAGCAGAGGTGTAGGGAATTCCAACAAGACCTACATCTCTGCTTTATTGACCTGGTCAAGGCCTATGATACCATCAGCAGGCCTGGGCTCTGGGTTGTTCTTCGTGCTTTTGGAGTACCTGACCCTCTGCTCACGATCATTAAGGACCTTCATGATGGTGAGCGGGCCCGGGTAAAACTACGTGGCCGGGAGTCAGAGCCATTCCCTGTACACCTTGGGGTGCGACAGGGATGTCCTCTGGCTCCCACATTATTTAACATCTATTTTGACCACGTAGTTCGTGAAGCCTTCAATAGCTGTACCGGGGGAATCTCCATATGGTACAGATATAATGGGAGGCTGATCGATGCCCGGGTGCGGTCAAGGGATGGCTCCCTATTGCTCAACCACGTTATGTATGCTGATGATTTGGTAATAGCTGCTCATTCAGAGGAGGAGTTGGAGACGCTGCTGCTGAGACTGGAGCGTGCCACTAAGAGGTGGGGCCTTACCATCAGCCCCACCAAAACTAAGCACCTGCCTGGGTATTTTGTACCATCGGACACTCCACCCCCACAACTCCCAATCGGTGATGGGGCAGTTGTGGAGAGAGTGGAGAGTTTCCCATACCTGGGCAGTGTGCTTATGACCAGCTCGAGTTTAACAGCAGAGGTCTCACTCCGAATCAGTCGAGCGGCAATATCTTTTCATCGGTTACGTAACGCTGTGTGGAAGCTACCTGGTCTGTCGCTCCGCACTAAGCTTCAGGTCTTCTTGGCCACGGTCATTCCCTCCCTTCTCTACGCTTGCGAAACGTGAACCCCCCTAATGGAACATCTTCGCCGGTTAGAAACATTTAGGCTGGCCTGCCTACGATCCATCCTGGGTTTAACCAGACTGGATTGTGTGAGGGGCTCACAAATCCTTGAAAGATCTGGGCAAGGTCCCATCGGTGAGCTCCTCCGGCGGGGAAGGCTGCGATGGCTGGGTCATGTAGCCCGCATGCCCAGCCACCGCATGCCGAAACAGCTTTTGTTCGGCCGGATTGAGGGGGCTAAGCGGGCGCAGCACGGGCTAGAGAAGAGATGGAGTGATGTGGTACAGGAGGACGTGGAGCTGAGTGGACTTGCCGATGACTGGTACCAGCGGTGTCAAGATCGCCCTCTGTGGAGGAGGCTCGTGAAGGATGCTACTGGGCAGTTGGAGGCAGTCGCCCTCCAACAACAACGGAGGGCGGAGGAGCGACGCTCACAACAGCGAGCGGAGCGCCGGGTGGCTAAAGCACAGCAGGTTGGCACAGTAGGGGGCACAGGTGGTGCATCAGCCAGTCATCTCAGTCAGTCGACCCGTGGCACCTGGGTCTGCCCCGTGACCTCCTGCCAGCGAGCGTTCGACACTTCACGTGGCCTCAGGGTGCACATAGCCTGGCACAAGCGTCGTGGTGACGTCACCGCCACTTAGTGGCGAATGGCGGTTGTTGTTGTTTTGTGTCTGTGTGTGTGTGACTGTATGTGTCTGTGTGTGACTGTGTGTGTGTGTGCAGTATACAAGGAGAAGCAGGTCTTCCTGGGTTTCATCACTTTCCTGGTGAGTTCCTCTCCAGTAGCAGGCAAATTGAGCCCAGCGTCAAAACAACGACAACACCACCACCATCACCACCACCCCCACCACCACCACCATCACAACCACCATCACCACCATCACTACCATTACCACCACCACCACCACCACCCCCCTCGCTCCCCTTGCGAGTTGCTGGCCCGAGACCCCTTCTCGCGAGCCACGTCCACGGACTCCGATCCGGAGCCCGAGACCAGCGAAAAGCTCCCGGGTCCCCGGGGTTCACCCTCCCGTCGGAGTTCCCGTGCCCCCTTCCCGAACTTGGTGACGGCATCCCGGACCGCCGGGCGTGCGGGGGAATCCCACGGGGATTGGAAAGATCTCGCCCCCCCCCCCCCACTCTTCGCCAAGCCACGCCGTGGCTAAGTGACCCAGCCCGGCCGCCCGCCCGCCCGGAGGAGCCAGGAGGAGCTCGCCGACGGGGGACTCTGTCCGGGTCGTTTCGAGGAATCCGCGAGGGCCTCGCCGCGGCTCAAGGGAGCGCGGCCTCCTTTTTTTTTTTTTTTTGCCGGGGGGGGCGGACCCGGAGGGATGAAAATTCGCGGGCAGGCCCCCGGCCCTGAAACGCGTCTCTAACCCGGCGAAGGTGTTCCGTTACCCGGGGAAGGGGGGGCGGGGGGTCGGACCGCACGGGCCGTTAACGACCGCAGGGGCGGTTAAATTTTGATTTGAAGCTTTGGTGACCGCAGTGATTCATATTGTTAGCTCTTTCGGTAAAGTCACCACGTTGAAGGGAAACAATGAAATGATAAAAATATATATATGAAACAATTTACAAAAATCTCACGACGTTTCGACCATAACAAAATTAATGCAAACCGACACACCTGATGACGACCGTTTGTGTTATGGTCGAAACGTGATAATTTTTATTGTTTTATATGTATTTTATTATTTTATTGTTTCCCTTCAACGTGGTGATTTTTTTTCCGAAAGAGCTGAGAATATAAACCGCAGGGGCATCTCGCTCCTCGGCGTGTCCCGGGAGAGGCCCCCGGCGAGGATTATTCGGCGTCGCCTCGCCGGGCACGCTGAGGAGAGGCTTGCGGAGCCCCAGTACGGTCGCAGGAAAGGGCGGTCCTGCACGGATGCCATATTCTCTGTCCCGTCTGCTACAGCAGAGGTGTAGGGAATTTCGACAAGGCCTTCATCTCTGCTTTATTGACCTGGTCAAGGCCTGTGATGCCATCAGTAGGCCCTGGGCTCTGGGTTGTTCTTCGTGCTTTTGGAGTACCTGACCCTCTGCTCACGATCATTAAGGACCTTCATGATGGTGAGCGGGCCCGGGTAAAACTACGTGGCCGGGAGTCAGAGCCATTCCCTGTACACCTTGGGGTGCGACAGGGATGTCCTCTGGCTCCCACATTATTTAACATCGATTTCGACCACGTAGTTCGTGAAGCCTTCAGTAGCTGTACCGGGGGAATCTCCATATGGTACAGATATAATGGGAGGCTGATTGATGCCTGGGTGCGGTCAAGGGATGGCTCCCTATTGCTCAACCACGTTATGTATGCTGATGATTTGGTAATAGCTGCTCATTCAGAGGAGGAGTTGGAGACGCTGCTGCTGAGACTGGAGCTTGCCACTAAGAGATGTGGCCTTACCATCAGCCCCACCAAATCTAAGCACCTGCCTGGGTATTTTGTACCATCGGGCACTCCACCCCCACAACTCCCAATCCGTGATGGGGCAAGTGTGGAGAGAGTGGAGAGTTTCCCATACCTGGGCAGTGTGCTTATGACCGGCTCCGGTTTGACAGCAGAGGTCTCACTCCGAATCGGTCGAGCGGCAATATCTTTTCATCGGTTGCGTAACGCTGTGTGGAAGCTACCTGGTCTGTCGCTCCGCACGAAGCTTCAGGTCTTCTCGGCCACAGTCATTCCCTCCCTTCTCTACGCTTGCGAAATGTGGACCCCCCTAATGGAACATCTTCGCCGGTTAGAAACATTTAGGCTGGCCTGCCTACGATCCATCCTGGGTTTAACCAGGCTGGATTGTGTGAGGAGCTCACAAATCCTTGAAAGATCTGGACAAAGTCCTATCGGTGAGCTCCTCCGGCAGGCAATGCTGCGTTGGCTGGGCCATGTAGCCCGCATGCCCAAACAGCTTTTGTTCGGCCGGATCGAGGGGGCTAAACGGGCGCGGCACGGGCTAGAGAAGAGATGGAGTGATGTGGTACAGGAGGACGTGGAGCTGAGTGGACTTGCCGATGACTGGTACCAGCGGTGTCAAGATCGACCTCTGTGGAGGAGGCTCGTGAAGGACGCTACTGGGCAGTTGGAGGCAGTCGCCCTCCAACAACAACGGAGGGCGGAGGAGCGACGCTCACAACAACGAGCGGAGCGCCGGGTGGCTAAAGCACAGCAGGTTGGCACAGAAGGGGGCACAGGTGGTGCATCAGCCAGTCATCTCAGTCATCTCAGTCAGTCGACCCATGTCACCTGCTGGGTCTGCCCCGTGACCTCCTGCCAGCGGGCGTTCGACACTTCACGTGGCCTCAAGGTGCACATAGCCTGGCACAAGCGTCGTGGTGACGTCACCGCCACTTAGTGGCGAATGGAGGTTGTGTGTGTGTGGTGTGTGTCAGTGTGTGTCAGTATCTGTCAGTGTGTGCGTGTTACCACCAGCACTTGCCCGTGCCCACTCCTGTTCACGGCTTCCTGGGTGATCTTTGTCTGTCTCTCTTCACAGATTTGCGAGTTGGGAAACTTCTCAATCCACATCGCACTGAGAGACCTCCGCCCAGCTGGTGAGACTTTGACACCGTGGTGAGGGTGGTGGTGGTGGTGATGGTGGTGGTGATGATGGTGGTGAGGGTGGTGGTGGTGGTGGTGGTGAGGGTGGTGGTGGTGGTGGTGGTGATGGTGGTGGTGATGATGGTTGTGGTGATGGTTGTGGTGAGGGTGGTGGTGGTGATGGTGGTGGTGATGATGGTGGTGAGGGTGGTGGTGGTGAGGGTGGTGAGGGTGGTGGTGGTGGTGGTGATGGTGGTGATGATGGTTGTGGTGAGGGTGGTGGTGGTGATGGTGGTGGTGGTGATGGTGGTGGTGAGGGTGGTGAGGGTGGTGGTGGTGAGGGTGGTGAGGGTGGTGGTGGTGGTGATGGTGGTAATGATGGTTGTGATGGTGGTGGTGATGGTGGTGGTGATGGTGGTTGTGGTGAGGGTGGTGGTGGTGGTGGTGGTGATGGTGGTGGTGATGGTGGTGGTGAGGGTGGCGAGGGTGGTGGTCGTGAGGGTGGTGAGGGTGGTGGTGGTGGTGGTGATGGTGGTGGTGATGGTGGTGATGGTGGTGGTGAGGGTGGTGAGGGTGGTGGTGGTTAGGGTGGTGAGGGTGGTGGTGGTGATGATGGTTGTGGTGAGGGTGGTGGTGGTGGTGATGGTGGTGGTGATGGTGGTGGTGATGGTGGTGGTGATGGTGGTGGTGATGGGTCGCTATGGGTCTCTATGAGTGTGGATCTCTATGGTCTGTGTGTGTGTCTGTGTGTGTGTGGCTCTTCTTTTGAATAAAAGAATGAAGGGGGCGTGGGAGCGTGGCGGTGAGGTTTGGGAAGCTGTAAGCCCCAGGCTACTTTGGGCTCGCCTTCCCATCAACCGGAGGCGAGGAATGGTGGTCGTGGTTACTTATGCCCCCACCGAAGATGAGCATCCATGGAGGGATGCAGGCAAAGCCGATGAGTCAGATACCTTCTATGACCTCCTGTCACAGTTGCTGGCTGACGTGGCCCCTCGGGATAGAGTCATCATGTTGGGTGACTTCAATGCCCGAGTTGGTCATGATACTGGCACCTGGTCTGGAGTGATTGGAGGGCATGGGCCAGATCAGCTCAATAACAACGGTAGGAGGCTACTAGATTTTTGTGCAGCCCATGGGCTTGTAATTACCAACACGCTGTTCCGGCATCGGCACATCCACACAACATCATGGATGCATGCTGGGTCCAAGCAAGAACATCTGCTGGACTACATAGTAACGGACCAGCGGATGCGAGCCCATGTCCTTGACACCAGGACCTACCGTGGAGCTGATCTGCCCTCTGACCATTGACTAGTCATCTGTAAGATGCGCCTGCCATTCTTCCACTCCGGTGGTGGGTGTACACCCAGGACCCCATTCCAACCTAAAGTGGCCTGGTCTCAGTTATCTGATAAAAGTTGCAAGCGAGAACTTCATCATCGCTTGCGGCTGGGATTGGCATCGTCCCCGACTCCTCCTGATGTCGAGGGTAAATGGGCGAGGTTTACGACTGTGACTCATGCAGCTGCAATGGCTGCTTTGGGTACGCGGTCCAGACCTCCCCAGAGACCCTGGCTGACAGAGGAGGTGTTCAGGATGGTTGAGAAAAAGCGACAGGCCCACTGTGATCGGCTACAGGAGGTTCGGATAGCCGTGAGGCGCTGCAAGGATGGGTGGTGGTCGCGGGTTGCTGAGGAGATGGAGTCTGCCTCAGTGGCCCGTGATCACAAATCTCTATTTCACTCCATCAAAAAAGTAACCTGCAGCGCCACACCTATTACCATCATTAGGGGAAAAAACGGTGATCCAATCTCAGACCCCCAGGAACAGGTTTACAGATTTGCTGAGCATTTCTGTGAGTTCCTGGGGGAGGGAAAATCCCTCAGCCAGGAAAACATCATGGCACAAAGTGAGGATGACCCTGCTGAGGCTGCGGTGCCTCAAATATTGGAAGAAGTTACCCCCTGTGAGTGGCTGGCTGAGGTGCCATCTGTTGAGGAAGTACTGAAGGCGATACGGAGTCTGAGACCAGGAAAGGCAGCGGGCAGAGATGATCTCCCAAGCGAAATGCTGAGGGAGGGTGGCGTTTGTGCACAGACTGCCCTATATGACATCATAACAACGGTCTGGACCACTGGACGGGTTCCGCAGGATTGGAAGGATGCCCTGGTGGTCCCCCTTTTTAAGAAGGGGGACCGCACAGACTGTAACAACTACAGGGGCATCTCACTCCTCAGTGTGCCGGGAAAGGTCCTGGCAAGGATTATTCAACATCGCCTTGCCAGGCACGCTGAGGAGAGGCTTGCGGAGCCCCAATGCGGTTTCAGGAAAGGGCGGTCCTGCACAGATGCCATATTTTCTGTCTGTCTGCTACAGCAGAGGTGTAGGGAATTCCAACAAGACCTACATCTCTACTTTATTGACCTTGTCAAGGCCTATGATACCATCAGTAGTCCTGGGCTCTGGGTTGTTCTTCGTGCTTTTGGAGTACCTGACCCTCTGCTCACGATCATTAAGGACCTTCATGATGGTGAGCGGGCCCGGGTAAAACTATGTGGCCGGGAGTCAGAGCCATTCCCTGTGCACCTTGGGGTGCGACAGGGATGTCCTCTGGCTCCCACATTATTTAACATCTATTTTGACCACGTAGTTCGTGAAGCCTTCAATAGCTGTACCGGGGGAATCTCCATATGGTACAGATATAATGGGAGGCTGATCGATGCCCAGGTGCGGTCAAGGGATGGCTCCCTATTGCTCAACCACATTATGTATGCTGATGATTTGGTAATAGCTGTTCAGTCAGAGGAGGAGTTGGAGATGCTGCTGCTGAGACTGGAGCGTGCCACTAAGAGGTGGGGCCTTACCATCAGCCCCACCAAAACTAAGCACCTGCCTGGGTTTTTGTACCATCGGACACTCCACCCCCACAACTCCCAATCGGTGATGGGGCAGTTGTGGAGAGAATGGAGAGTTTCCCATACCTGGGCAGTGTGCTTATGACTGGCTCCAGTTTAACAGCAGAGGTCTCACTCCGAATCAGTTGAGCGGCAATATCTTTTCATCAGTTGCGTAACGCTTTGTGGAAGCTACCTGGTCTGTCGCTCCGCACTAAGCTTCAGGTCTTCTCGGCCACGGTCATTCCCTTCTCTACGCTTGCGAAACGTGGACCCACCTAATGGAACATCTTCGTCGGTTAGAAACATTTAGGCTGGCCTGCCTACGATCCATCCTGGGTTTAACCAGACTGGATTGTGTGAGGAGCTCACAAATCCTTGAAAGATCTGGGCAAGGTCCCATCGGTGAGCTCCTCCGGCGGGGAAGGTTGCGATGGCTGGGTCATGTAGCCCGCATGCCCAGCCACCGCATGCCGAAACAGCTTTTGTTCGGCCGGATTGAGGGGGCTAAGCGGGCGCAGCACGGGCTAGAGAAGAGATGGAGTGATGTGGCTCGTGAAGGATGCTACTGGGCAGTTGGAGGTAGTCGCCCTCCACCAACAACGGAGGGCGGAGAAGCGACGCTCACAACAACGAGCGGAGTGCCGGGTGGCTAAAGCACAGCAGGTTGGCACAGTAGAGGGTACAGGTGGTGCATCAGCCAGTCATCTCAGTCAGTCGACCCGTGGCACCTGGGTCTGCCCCGTGACCTCCTGCCAGCGGGCATTCGACACTTGACGTGGCCTCAGGGTGCACATAGCCTGGCACAAGCGTCGTGGTGACGTCACCGCCACTTAGTGGCGAATGGCGGTGGTTGGTTGTGTGTCAGTGTGAGTGTGTGTCAGTGTGTGTCAGTGTGAGTGTGTGTCAGTGTGAGTGTGTGTCAGTGTGTCAGTGTCAGTGTGTGTCAGTGTGAGTGTGTGTCAGTGTGAGTGTGTGTCAGTGTGTGTCAGTGTGAGTGTGTGTCAGTGTGAGTGTGTGTCAGTGTGAGTGTGTGTCAGTGTGTGTCAGTGTGTGTCAGTGTGAGTGTGTGTCAGTGTGAGTGTGTCAGTGTGAGTGAGTGTGAGTGTCAGTGTGAGTGAGTGTGTGTCAGTGTGAGTGTGTGTCAGTGTAAGTGTGTGTCAGTGTGAGTGAGTGTGTCAGTGTGTGTCAGTGTGAGTGAGTGTGAGTGTGTCAGTGTGTGTTCTGCTGCTACTCGCTACTCACAGCACTTGCCCCTACAATCCGTTAGAGGCTGCACGGGTGACCTTTGTCTGTGTGGCGCAGGATCTAAGGCTCGCAAGATCCCCTACCCAACGAGGAATCCATTCACCTGGCTATTCAAGCTCGTGTCTTGCCCCAACTACACATACGAGGTGTAGACACACACAGACACACAGACACACACACACAGACACACACACAGACACTCACAAACACTCACAGACACACACACAGACACACACACACAGACACACACACACAGACACTCACAAATATAAAGGTGCCCGTCTAGCCTCAGTAGGGGCAAGTGCTGTTAGTAGCGAGTAGCAGCAGCATCTCCTAAACAACACAGACACACTCACTCACCCACTCACTCACTAACTCAATCTGCCACTCACCCACCCACTCACCCACCCACTCACCCACCCACTCACCCACCCACCCACTCACTCACTCACCCATCCACCCACTCACTCACCCACCCACTCACTCACCTCACCCACTCACTCACTCACCCACCCACCCACCCACTCACTCACCTCACCCACCCACCCACTCACTCACTCACCTCACCCACCCACTCACTCACCCACCCACCCACTCACTCACCCACCCACTCACTCACCTCACCCACTCACTCACCCACTCACTCACCCACTCACTCACCCACTCACTCACCTCACCCACCCACTCACCGACTCACTCACCCACCCACCCACCCACTCACTCACCCACACACCCACCCACCCACCCACCCACCCACCCACTCACTCACCCCCACACCCACCCACACACCCACACACCCACCCACCCACTCACCCACACACCCACCCACCCCCTCACCCACCCACTCACTCACCTCACCCACCCACTCACCCACCCACCCACTCACTCACTCACCCACCCACCCACTCACTCACCCACTCACCCACTCACTCACTCACTCACCCACCCACTCACCCACCCACTCACCCACCCACTCACTCACCCACCCACCCACTCACCCACCCACCCACCCACTCACTCACTCACCCACTCACTCACCCACCCACCCACCCACTCACTCACCCACCCACCCACCCACCCACCCACTCACTCACTCACCCACTCACTCACTCACCCACTCACTCACTCACTCACCCACCCACTCACTCACCCACCCACTCACTCACCTCACCCACTCACTCACTCACCCACCCACTCACTCACTCACCCACCCACTCACTCACTCACCCACTCACTCACTCACTCACCCACCCACTCACTCACTCACCCACTCACTCACCCACCCACCCACCGACTCACCCACCCACTCACTCACCCACCCACTCACTCACCCACACACCCACCCACCCACCCACACACCCACCCACCCACCCACACACCCACCCACCCACCCACACACCCACCCACCCACACACCCACCCACCCACTCACCCACACACCCACCCCCTCACCCACCCACCCACTCACTCACTCACCTCACCCACCCACTTACCCACTCACTTACCCACCCACTCACTCACCCACTCACTCACCCACCCACTCACCCACCCACCCACTCACTCACTCACCCACTCACCCACCCACTCACTCACTCACCCACACACCCACTCAACCACCCACACACCCACCCACACACCCACCCACCCACACACCCACACACCCACTCACCCACACACCCACCCACCCCCTCACCCACCCACCCACTCACTCACCTCACCCACCCACTCACCCACTCACTTACCCACCCACTCACTCACCCACTCACTCACCCACCCACTCACTCACCCACCCACCCACTCACTCACCCACTCACTCACTCACCCACTCACCCACCCACCCACCCACTCACTCACCCACACACCCACACACCCACTCAACCACCCACTCAACCACTCACCCACTCACCCATCCACTCACACACTCACCCACCCACCCACCCACTCACTCACTCACCCACCCACTCACTCACTCACCCACCCACTCACTCACCCACCCACCCACTCACTCACCCACTCACTCACTCACCCACCCACCCACCCACTCACTCACCCACACACCCACTCAACCACCCACTCAACCACTCACCCACTCACCCATCCACTCACACACTCACCCACCCACCCACCCACTCACTCACTCACCCACCCACTCACTCACTCACTCACCCACCCACTCACCCACGCACTCACCCACTCACCCACCCACCCACTCACCCACTCACTCACTCTCTCACCCACCCACTCAACCACTCACCCACGCACTCACCCACCCACCCACTCACCCACCCACTCACTCACCCACTCACCCACTCACTCACTCACCCACTCACTCACCCACTCACCCACTCACTCACTCACCCACACACCCACTCACCCACCCACTCAACCACTCACCCACCCACTCACCCACTCACCCATCCATCCACTCACCCACCCACTCACTCACTCACCCATCCACCCACTCACCCACCCACCCACTCACTCACCCATCCACCCACTCACCCACCCACCCACTCACCCACCCACTCACCCACTCACTCACCCATCCACCCACTCACCCACCCACTCACCCACCCACTCACCCACCCACTCACTCACCCACCCACTCACCCACCCACTCACCCACCCACTCACCCACCCACTCACCCACCCACTCACCCACTCACCCACCCACTCACCCACCCACTCACCCACCCACTCACCCACCCACTCACTCACCCACCCACCCACTCACCCACCCACCCACTCACCCACTCACCCACCCACTCACCCACCCACCCACTCACTCACCCACCCACTCACCCACTCACCCACCCACTCACTCACCTACTCACCCACCCACCCACCCACTCACCCACCAACTCACCCACTCACCCACTCACCCACCCACTCACCCACCCACCCACCCACTCACTCACACACCCACCCACTCACCCACCCACTCACCCATCCACCCACTCACTCACCCACCCACTCACCCACTCATTCACCTCACCCACTCACTCACCTCACCCACTCACTCACTCACCTTACCCACTCACTCACCCACCCACCCACTCACCCACCCACTCACCCACTCACCCACACACCCACCCACTCACCCACCCACTCACCCACTCACTCACCTCACCCATTCACTCACCTCACCCATTCACTCACCTCACCCACCCACTCACCTCACCCACCCACTCACCTCACCCACCCACTCACCCACCCACTCACCCACCCACCCACCCACACACCAACCCACTCACCCATCCACCCACTCACCCACTCACCCACCCACTCACCAACCCACTCACCCATTCATCCACCCACCCACTCACCAACCCACTCACCCAGCCACCCACTCACACACTCACCCACTCACCCACCCACTCACCCACCCACTCACCCACCCACTCACTCACACACCCACCCACTCACCCACTCACCCACCCACTCACCCATCCACCCACTCACTCACCCACCCACTCACCCACTCATTCACCTCACCCACTCACTCACCTCACCCACTCACTCACTCACCTTACCCACTCACTCACCCACCCACCCACTCACCCACCCACTCACTCACTCACCCACCCACTCACCCACGCACTCACCCACTCACCCACCCACCCACTCACCCACTCACCCACTCACTCACTCTCTCACCCACCCACTCAACCACTCACCCACGCACTCACCCACCCACCCACTCACCCACCCACTCACTCACCCACTCACCCACTCACTCACCCACTCACCCACTCACTCACTCACCCACTCACTCACCCACTCACCCACTCACTCACTCACTCACCCACACACCCACTCACCCACCCACTCAACCACTTACCCACCCACTCACCCACTCACCCATCCATCCACTCACCCACCCACTCACTCACCCATCCACCCATCCACCCACTCACCCATCCACCCACTCACCCACCCACCCACTCACTCACCCATCCACCCACTCACCCACCCACCCACTCACCCACCCACTCACCCACTCACTCACCCATCCACCCACTCACCCACCCACTCACCCATCCACCCACTCACTCACCCACTCACCCACCCACTCACCCACTCACTCACCCACCCACTCACCCAGTCACCCACCCACCCACCCACTCACCCACCCACCCACCCACTCACCCACCCACTCACTCACTCACCCACCCACCCACTCACCCACTCACCCACCCACTCACCCATCCACCCACTCACTCACCCACCCACTCACCCACCCACTCACCCACCCACTCACTCACCTACTCACCCACCCACTCACCCACCCACCCACCCACTCACTCACACACCCACCCACTCACCCACTCACCCACCCACTCACCCATCCACCCACTCACTCACCCACCCACTCACCCACTCATTCACCTCACCCACTCACTCACCTCACCCACTCACTCACTCACCTTACCCACTCACTCACCCACCCACCCACTCACCCACCCACTCACCCACTCACCCACACACCCACCCACTCACCCACCCACTCACCCACTCACTCACCTCACCCATTCACTCACCTCACCCACCCACTCACCTCACCCACCCACTCACCTCACCCACCCACTCACCCACCCACTCACCCACCCACCCACCCACACACCAACCCACTCACCCATCCACCCACTCACCCACTCACCCATCCACCCACTCACCCACTCACCCACCCACTCACCAACCCACTCACCCACCCACTCACGCACCCACCCACCCACCCACTCACCCATCCACCCACTCACCCATCCACCCACTCACACACTCACCCACTCACCCACCCACTCACCCACCCACCCACCCACTCACTCACACACCCACCCACTCACCCACTCACCCACCCACTCACCCAACCACCCACTCACTCACCCACCCACTCACCCACTCATTCACCTCACCCACTCACTCACCTCACCCACTCACTCACTCACCTTACCCACTCACTCACCCACCCACCCACTCACCCACCCACTCACCCACCCACTCACCCACTCACTCACCTCACCCATTCACTCACCTCACCCATTCACTCACCTCACCCACCCACTCACCTCACCCACCCACTCACCTCACCCACCCACTCACCCACCCACTCACCCACCCACCCACCCACACACCAACCCACTCACCCATCCACCCACTCACCCACTCACCAACCCACTCACCCACCCACTCACCCACCCACAAACCCACTCACCCACCCACCCACTCACCCACTCACCCATCCACCCACTCACACACTCACTCACTCACCCACTCACCCACTCACTCACTCACCCACCCACTCACCCACCCACTCACTCACCCACCCACTCACCCACTCACTCACCTCACCCACTCACCCACCCACTCACTCACGTCACCCACCCACTCACCCACTCACTCACCCACCCACCCACTCAGCCACTCACTCACCTCACCCACTCACCCACCCACTCACTCACGTCACCCACCCACTCACTCACCCACTCACCCACCCATCCACCCACTCACTCACCCACTCACCCACTCAGCCACACACCCACTCGCCCACCCACTCAACCACTCACCCACTTACCCATCCACCCACTCACCCACTCACTCACCTCACCCACTCACCCACCCACTCACTCACTCACGTCACCCACCCACTCACCCACTCACTCACCCACCCACTCACCCACTCACCCACTCACCCACCCACTCACCCACTCACCCACCCACCCATCCACCCACTCACTCACCCACCCATCCACCCACTCACTCACCCACTCACCCACCCACTCAGCCACACACCCACTCGCCCACCCACTCGCCCACCCACTCAACCACTCACCCACTTACCCATCCACTCACACACTCACCCACCCACTCACCCACCCACTCACTCACTCACTCACCCACCCACTCACCCACTCACCCACTCACCCATCCATCCACTCACCCACCCACTCACTCACCTATCCACCAAATCACTCACACACACACACAGACAAAGCTCCCCCCCCGCATAGCCTGTAACAGACTGTTGGGGCAAGTGCTTTTGGCCAGCGCACATCCAGCTGATTTCGCTACTCTGTGTCGTTGCTGCTGTGTCTAGGTTGGGGCCTGGCTAAGTTTCACCATCATGACCCAGACCCTAGCAGGTAAGAAGTTCGGACCCTGACGATATCTGTAGCCATGATGGCGAGGGGAGATGTTGACTACCTCGCCTGGTACGCAGGAGGTCGTGGTAGATGTTGACCACCTCGCCTGGTCTACAGGAGGTCGTGGTAGACGTTGACCACCTCGCCTGGTCTACAGGAGGTCGTGGTAGATGTTGACCACCTCGCCTGATCTAACGGAGGTCGTGGTAGATGTTTACCACCTCGCCTGGTCTACAGGAGGTCGTGGTAGACGTTGACCACCTCGCCTGATCTAACGAAGGTCGTGGTAGATGTTTACCACCTCGCCTGGTCTACAGGAGGTCGTGGTAGATGTTGACCACCTCGCCTGGTCTACAGGAGGTCGTGGTAGACATTGACCATCTCGCCTGGTCTACAGGAGGTCGTGGTAGACGTTGACCACCTCGCCTGGTCTACAGGAGGTTGTGGTAGATGTTGACCACCTCGCCTGGTCCACAGGAGGTCGTGGTAGACGTTGACCACCTCGCCTGGTCTACAGGAGGTCGTGGTAGATGTTGACCACCTCGCCTGGTCCACAGGAGGTCGTGGTAGACGTTGACCACCTCGCCTGGTCTACAGGAGGTCGTGGTAGACGTTGACCACCTCGCCTGGTCTACAGGAGGTCGTGGTAGATGTTGACCACCTCCCCTGGTCTACAGGAGGTCGTGGTAGACGTTGACCATCTCGCCTGGTCCGCAGGAGGTCGTGGTAGACGTTGACCACCTCGCCTGCTCTACAGGAGGTCGTGGTAGATGTTGACTACCTCGTCTGGTCTACAAGAGGTCGTGGTAGACGTTGACCACCTCGCCTGGTCTACAGGAGGTCGTGGTAGACGTTGACCACCTCGCCTGGTCTCCAGGAGGTCGTGGTAGATGTTGACTACCTCGCCTGGCCCACAGGAGGTCGTGGTAGACGTTGACCACCTCGCCTGGTCTACAGGAGGTCGTGGTAGACGTTGTCCACCTCGCCTGGTCTACAGGAGGTCGTGGTAGACGTTGACCATCTCGCCTGGTCCGCAGGAGGTCGTGGTAGACGTTGACCACCTCGCCTGCTCTACAGGAGGTCGTGGTAGATGTTGACTACCTCGTCTGGTCTACAAGAGGTCGTGGTAGACGTTGACCACCTCGCCTAGTCTACAGGAGGTCGTGGTAGATGTTGACCACCTCACCTGGTCCACAGGAGGTCGTGGTAGACGTTGACCACCTCGCCTGGTCTACATGAGGTCGTGGTAGACGTTGACCACCTCGCCTGATCTAACGGAGGTCGTGGTAGATGTTTTCCACCTCGCCTGATCCGCAGGAGGTCGTGGTAGACGTTGACCACCTCGCCTGCTCTACAGGAGGTCGTGGTAGATGTTGACTACCTCGTCTGGTCTACAAGAGGTCGTGGTAGACGTTGACCACCTCGCCTAGTCTACAGGAGGTCGTGGTAGATGTTGACCACCTCACCTGGTCTACAGGAGGTCGTGGTAGATGTTGACCACCTCGCCTGGTCTACAGGAGGTCGTGGTAGACGTTGACCACCTCGCCTGGTCTACAGGAGGTCGTGGTAGACGTTGACCAC